TTATTCAAGTTTTTCGTAAACCAATCTTTGAAAAAAGTAAAAAAACAGTATCAAAAATCTCATTCTTACGGTGACGTTGAGAAGATTTTTAAATATTTTTATGCAGATTTTTTGAGCTTAATCTAATTTGTCATCTGAGGGGACTTTTTTCAAAAAGTTCTTTAAGAAACTATTTTTATTCATAACTAACTTCATTTTTGGAGGTATTTTCAAATCGGTCCAGCTCACTTAAATCCTAATATTTTTTCGAAATATTTTGGTGGACGCCTTAGAATATAATAAATTTTGTAATCCCGGCGGAAAAACCGCAACTTTTTTTGGTGATGCAGTCTAATATACATATATGTATGTACATACATATTTACATACATAAGTTTTTACATATTTATTTACATGCAAAAAATTTCAACAATTGGAAAGGCAGCAATTCAAGTGGACTTAACCCTGTAAGCACGTCTGTACATATCTAAATATGTATATTGTCAATTTTTATTTGTATCAAAATTACAGAGAGAACAAGTGCTTAGCATCAGCGTGAACACTTATGAAATATTTCCATACATACAGACAAGCATAACTATGCTCACACATTGCATTAAAAGTGAATTCACCTTTGAAAAAATTTCGTTTTATTGGGTAAATCTCACTTCGGTGAGCGACTGACCCACAAAAAATGTAAAAATTAAGGTTAGCTCGGCAAGCAATTCACGCATCACAAACGGGCGAATGTCGAGTATGTCTGTCTGTGTTTTTTTTTTTTTTTTTTTGTTATCTGAGGGGTGTCTGTTTGCGAATCTAGTTAATTTTTACAGCAATAAATGACATTTTGTAACTGCTTCCCGATTTTATTACACATGAAAGATATGCATGTGTGTATGTATATATGTATATTAGACTGGGTCGGTTCCCATATGAAAGGGAAAAGTAAGAAATTCCTTCTGTAGCAGGAAAACTTACTCCGATAGAATGCTGGCGTCGTTAAAATTTATCTTCCTGTCATGCCCCAAACACAAATAAAAATTTGTTCATGAGTGTTTATTTATGACAAAATTTTAAAGTATGATAGATCGTTTAAAAGTATGCTTTTGTATAGTATAAAACTTCATAAGAAACAAACGTTTTTGAATTTACGGTAACTTAATTTTAATTCAGTCGGCTGGAAAGAGAACTCGCTGGAATGGGTAATTTTGGTCAGCAGATTATTTTTCAACGATAGGTTGTACCTTGAAATCGGCTTTTCAATGACAAAAAGTTATGAAAAAGCTGTAATTTGGCTGTTTTAGGACTCGACAACGACGAAAATTTTTAAGACGCCAAATTTTCTACAATTATCCCGCGGCGACGTGGTAAGAGGTTCGCACAACCACTCGATCTGCTCGAACCCTGGGCCGAGCAATATAAAAAAACTTGCAATTGTATTTCTGTCATGAAAAAAGGTTCTGATCAGAACCATTTCCACTCTCCTTTGTGTGACAACATCAAACCGCACACCACAAATCGGAAGAGGAACTCTGCCAAATATTTATTTTTGTTTTATGCTTTCAAAGTAGGTCGAGTGATTACAAATGTTTATTCGCGACCCTGTCTAATGTACACATATGCACATATGTGTGTATATTAGAGTGGTCCAAAAATGTAAAGTCGGAATTTTAATGCTCCCACCCCCCTGGGATTGTTCTACACCGAAAAAATATACCCTTATTTTTATATTTTGAAATCAAAAAATGTTTAGAGGTCGCACGAAGCGCTCAAAGTTTTCCATGTATTTTGTATGGCGAAAAAACAATTTTCCGTAGAAATGGTATAGAATTCCCGAAAATCAATATTTCGGAAAACTCTGTTTCTCTTCAGGAGACAGCCAATAAAATTGCCCAATTATTTATTTAACCATTTTTTGTAGTAACTATATTTTATAGGTCCTCGAAAAACCCCAGATAATGCAATGGGGAGACCAATAAAAAATCTTTGGTATTAAAAAATGGTTAAGTAATCGAAGTCTCGTGAAGAGAAATATAGTTTTCCGATCAAAAATATTGATTTTCAAGAATTATATACCATTTCTACGGAAACTTGAGCGCACTCTAAATATTTTTTGATTTCAAAATAAAAAATAAAGGGTATATTTTTTTACCATTTTACTTTTTTTTTTGGACCAGCCTAGTGTATATCTTTATAACACACAGCAGTTTTGAGTAATGTTGATGGCATTCGCTTATGTCGCTAAACGATTCATAAACTGCCAGATATGACTTCGGATAACGCGTGATAAAGATTAAGGAACCAAAGGTATAAATTTTACTTTTTGTAACTACTGTATATGCGGTTTTATTTTTGATGCAGTAAAGCAAAACATGTACATGTGTCTCATTTTCTTTTTTTCTTTTGTGAGGTGTGATATTGATATCGTATTTAGTCCCCCAACTCGTTTAGTATAATCTATTAAACCTTTTTTTGATACATATCTATAGTACATACATACATACATATATGTATATGTATATTTTTGTACATTTGAATAATCCAATGTTTATTATCTTTTCAGTAAATCGCCAAAAAAAAAAATGCACTCTCATTATGCCTTAATAGCCACATTGGCATTGTGTGCGGTCAGCGCCCTAGCAGAGGTACGTATTCTACTTTCAATAAAGTTTTGTTGCATTCATTGTTGATATTCACACATTTATTTGTCAATTGTCCATAGCAGAAAAGCGCCACTATGGAAGCCATTGCCTATATGGAGGGCCCCATCGTGAAGGGTAATGTTACTTTCATACAGAATGGCTGCTCGGAGAATGTTCATGTGCACGTCTACTTGACTGGATTGGATCCAGGCAAGCACGGTTTCCACGTGCACGAAAAGGGCGACCTAACCAATGGCTGCACCAGCACCGGTGGACATTTTAATCCCGATAAGGTATTGGAATAAATATGAATTTTGTCGGAAAATATGCAAAAGTTATGGACTCTCTTCTGATTGCCTCATCAATTTTTCTGATCACGAATACTTTCCAGTGGTCCTTTTCTCGCGCATGCGTCTGCTTTCTCAAATGTTCTACATTGATTCTCTGCTAATATAAATATATAAAATCTACAGTAATTTTCACGAGTAAAAAATCAGTACGAAACTGTTTCCTTGGCGTTCAATTAGAGGTTCGAGTCCCATCAATTTACTCTTTAAAAATAGTCCCTAAGTGATAAAGCTTTGATTGTTAAACCTCTTGTTTTTTTTCTAATAATTTAGCCGAATCAAACAAGGAAGCGAAATTCCAAAAAAAAAACTATAAAACCTTATACATAATAATTAACTTATTTTCTCTCCACTCCCCCCTGTAGATGGATCATGGGGCGCCTGACGATGAAGTGCGCCACGTTGGCGATTTGGGCAATGTGGAGGCCGATGCGAATGGCATTGTTGATACCACTTTCACCGACCACTTGATCAGCTTAACTGGCAAGCGTACCATCATCGGACGCGGACTGGTTGTGCACGAATTGACCGATGATTTGGGCAGGGGTAGCCACCCCGATTCGAAGAAGACTGGCAATGCAGGTGGACGCTTGGCTTGCGGTGTCATTGGTGTTAAGTAAATATCAGAACAAAAGAAAACAAAACAAAAACCACACGCTTTTACTTTGTACACGCTAATTGTATGAAAGCTTCAAATCAAAATTAGTATGGCTGTATACGTCATTGTTTTTTTTTAAGTGTTGTACTATTGTTGTAACATGTCAATCATTTGCTTAAACAGCGCCGTAGCGCAGTGAAGCAGGCTAATGTATTTTTTCCTTGGCTTTTTATTTTCATTTAAACTGCTATTATTTTTGATTTATTTTTTGTCGATTTCTCTAGCTTCCTTGCTCTCTATTTCATTTTGTTCTATTTTTTTTCTGTTTTATTGTTTCCACATTTTCTTCACTAACTCTTTCTTACCTTTAAAATTTGAGCAAAAATTTATGTTTTGCTTATCATTTTGATATGCAACGACTTTAATAAATTAATGTTTTGTGGTTAACCAAATCGGCCAAATTAATATAAATTTATTTTGTGGCCATTTATTTATATAGGACTGTGTGTATATTTATTTTGGGTGCTTATTTAGATTGGGTGTTTATTTTACTTGTATAAACGTGTATATATATGTATGTATTTGAGTATGCTTTTTTGTGTATTTAGTCGTAATTAAGCGCTTCATATTTAGACATAAACTTGTACATGGATGCATCGCAACAACAGGAAATACATAGCTACATAAAAGCACCCACTTCAAGGGTACGTATGACAACCTCTTCTATTAGTCTAACAGGAAAAAGTCATTAGTTTTAGTTGCTTGCGTGTTTGCTGCTAATCAAACCTTTCAAATCTATTGTATGAATGAATATTTAGAATCACATTTACATATGATTTACCAAAGAAATTACCAGAATGTAAGAGTTCGATTATTTTTTATTGTCATGATGTATGCTAGAGTCATAAATAAGCTCGCAATAAGGCCATGCTTTGACTCTAATAATACAAGAAGACAATGCCAAATAGGACATAATATAAATATATATCCGTTTATGGTTTTTGGCTGACAATGTTTTCCCTCCGTCGCAAACTCATGAATAGGTCAGCTCTGTTTCACTCCCACTGTGGCATTTTACCACAACGAAAGGTTTTATTCTAAAGCTTTCTGAATAAAATGTATAGAAAGCTCAAAAACGCTCTGTGGACATGCCGATGCAGTGGTAAATTCTGACTTAAACTCTTAAGCGCAAGTGGGGAAAACTTGAAGGAATTAAAAGTTTAGTTTATAAACGTGAGATAACGTAACCCTATCAAAAAATTTGCGTGGAATGCCTTGGAGCTTAAAAATATTCGCGACCAAAAAACATCCAACGTGGAAAGCTTTTTAAAGCTTTTAGTTGACTTTATATGAACAAGTTCGTCAAAGGCTATTAGATAGAGCTTTTTAACGATCAAAGCATATCCCTTCGGGTTAAGCTGTTTTGCTTTTCAAAGCTCTCAATACATTTTATATGGAAGTGCAGAAAGTAAAAGCTCTCTCTGAGTGACGACGGTGCAAAATTTTGTTGGCGGTTATAGCGCCGGACGGGCCCATGACAGTCGTCACTATTTTATATGATGCGCTTAGAGCAAGAGCTCTCTCTGATCGTCTATGATGGAAAAAAACTTATAAAAAGCTTAAAAAGCTCTGATCCCGGCTACGTTTTAACCCTCACTTATTCAGCGCAGTGATGATCAGAAAGGTATTATTCTATCTAACCTGTATAAAGCAAAAAAAAACCTATGCAACAGTGCAAGAGTTTTGCCCGTCACTGATTAAGCTTAGGGCTTATTTAAATTATACAGTCGTCGAAAGGTTTCGATGCTCGATATCCCAGTATTTTTTTCTTTATTTGAGCAATAGAAGCCACAACAGCAAACTTTAGAATTTTGTCTATCTTTCTGTATGTGTTTATGTTTGTATGTATTTGTACAGTTTTCAACAATGTAATGCCAGAGGTCTAACTTAAAATATAGAAACAAAAAAATTAGAGAGTTACCACATGTTTGAAAATTGCAGTTTAAGTAAATTGATAAGACAAAGCAAATATTGCAATATGGCTGTCAAAAGAAAGCGGTGTAAGAAGGCTTACAGCCAAAAATACTTTTGTGGAGGTTGCCACATGTTTGAAAATTTTAATTTAATTTAATTGATAATTGCGTCAAACTGCAGAGGTTTAGGAAAGTTTACTTTCGAAAAGATTTTTGAACGGGGTTGCCACCTGTTTGAAAATTTCAGTTTAATTAGATTGATAAAATAAATGGCATATTACAATACGGGTATCAAACAACACAAAAATACTTTTAAGGCTCAGTGAAGTACGCCGAGTATTTGCTAGTTGTATATGAAATTTGTTCACCTCTAAGAAAGTACTAAACTATTTAGATACTGTTGACAGTAAACGCATTTCTGTTTTTGCATACCTACCAGTGTAAAAAGTGCTAACACATGAACACAATCTGCATTCGCACTTAAATAATCCAATAACGGAGTTAAAAAAAACGTAATGCAACCCTGCAAATACATACCTTTTGGTCATATGACTAAAATATACTTGTAACATGGCTTAACTATTTAATTTGAATAAATATTTTTTCAGCGCTTACCCATCTCATCAAGCATCAGTCATTGGTTGTGAGCCAACATTTTATGTGCCCCATCAACAGCCACAAGATCATGCTGTCTATCCCATTTTATCATCGAGTCTACCATATCCATATGCATTACCATACTTTTATTAAAAAAAGCGAACGTTGCAGAGCCATCATTCAAAATAATCATTTGTAATACTCGACTTACAGCCAATTTTACGAAAGCATGTTTAGTGTGAAATGATTTTAATTTTTTGAATTTCATAAGGAAGTTGACAGAAAATGAAAAATCATTTGCCATTTAAATTGCTGGTGAAACCGGGTGTTATATAGAGCCCAGAAAATAATTTCAACCAATCATAAGATTTGTGTAGTTGGCCATCATGTCTCACGTCTCAATGTGTTGTCTTCAATTTTAATTTAACATGCTTAAGTCATACATATGTACATACATAACTTCGAAATCATAGCCCTTTCTAAATTTTTAATGGAAACCCTTTTTAGCGGCGAAGTTCACGAATGGCCCTGTACGAATAATGCCAGCCCTGCAGTGTCAGTACTTTCCATGCTTGCCTTCGTCCTGACGGTGTTAGCGGCTCGAGTATTAGTTTAGATGAAAGCAACGCTGGAGAGCGAATTGCTAGCAAATAATATAAAACATCGGCAGGATATTTAATTTAACAAAAAGCAATCTTGTATTCAATGTATTTAAATTCTCAAAGCATTATTTTATGTTATACATGCTTGGTTATTTATATTTATAATTTACTAACAATTTACATACGAAATAAACTTTGCCAATTGGCACAAATGAAATGCATTTCAATAAAAAGCAAATGGTATAAAAAGTGAATTTTATGTGCGTAAAAACAGTGACTAACTAATTTTTGATTAATGACAACCAAAGGACAATCACAAATACAATTAGTTAGAGCAGCACAAATTTCCTAAAAGAATTTACTAGTGTTGGGAAGTATCGAGTACTTTGGAGGAACGAGTTCTTTGGTATCGATACTTTTGAGGATCGGGTATTTTTGAGAGTGCTGAGTACTTTCTTTAAATATGCACATGTTGGTAACATTTCATTGCTTAGCGTAGAAATCTTACAAGCTGGCAGCACTTTATTCAAATTGATATATTAATCTCAATTTACGTCAAATGAACTAACTTTACTGGGTTGAAGTATTGTACTTGAAAATTGTTGAAACTTCAAATACAGTACAATCATTTATCAATACCGGTAAATGTAAGTAAAACGCAGTACTTTCAAGTATATCATTGACACTTAATACTAAGTACTTTGAATCGATCCTGAGTACATGTATCAAAGCGATGATTGCGATATTTTTGAATACTGAGTACTTACGAGTTCTTTTGTGAGTACTGAATACTTTCGAGTTCTTTTGTGAGTACTGAGTACTATCGAGTTCTTTTGTGAGTACTGAGTACTTTTAAGGTCTTTTATGAATACAGAGTTCTGTGAAGTATTCAGTAACGGTGCTTCTAAAAATTGGCTGCTTTGAGAATCCAGTTCTGAGTACTTTTGGTATCGATAATGCCCAACACTACAGTTTACTAGAGTACGATATGCACTGAAGCGAATGTAATTATGTATGTATGAGTGTACTATATTCCTTTAATAAGTTCCACCCCACATAAACCGTGGGTAAAACCATTTGTTAGCAATCGCTGACAAAGTAAATAAACTCCCAGCAAACGTCACATTCTTAAAATATAATAAATAATTTGGTTCAAAAGCTTTTAGGTTTTTGATTTGACTTTCGCTTTGGCTTCCTTTCAAGAAAAATACATACATACATAGGCTACTAAAGCAGTTACATACATATGTGCATACATACGCACAGGTAAGTACAATAAGGTGGTGGACTCGCTTTATCTATAGCGGTTTTTTGAATATTTTAGGCGGTCTTTTTGAAATCTTGATTTTTCGAATACTGAGTAAACCGGATTTTTGCAATCGAATATATCAGGTGTGCACCTAGTTTGTTTATATACCAGCATCTAAAAATTTTAAGTATTTATTTTATTGAAAAAGGGAATGCATAGAACATTTTTATTCATTTTATTCAAATTTTCCACCACATAAAATTACTTAGATAAGTAATTTTTAAGCAAAAACTACGACCAACTTCAATGCTCATATAAAAACTTAAGTTCATTTCTTCATAATCCAATGATTGGAACTAAAGCAATAGCATGGAACCGCCCCTAAGGTGCAACCTTTCCGATAAAAAAATAACAAATCGGGTAACGTGGTCCATAGTTAAAGCGGTAATATAAATGAAAAAAATTTATAAAAAATATTCCGACGAATTTATAACCTCCTCCTTTTTAAGTCGGTTAAAAAGAAAACCGAACGAAAATCTTTCAGTTATTTTTTTCTTTATTGTAGCAGCTTACAGAACTACACGTGGTCTTCATTCTCATCTAACGGCAGACTCGGGGGAAAAAGCCAGATCCGACGAATTTGGGCCGTTGGGAGTAGGATGTTAGATGAGCTGATGTGAGTCGCCATATAAAGGTTTAACCTGCTACAATATCCAGGATGGTGATGTGGCAAAGTATCGTGAGCCTCACGAAGCAACTCGAGCTCTTCATCGACGTTGGGTAGCGTTGAATTTTTCACTCAGCTTTTCTGTTTTGTAATTCAAAATACTTCGAACTTATTTTGCTTTATTGATTTCTAAATTAAAGCTATGCGTAGCTATTTTTAGTAGTCATATTGTAATTTTGGTCATGAACTCTGACTAACAGTATATTTAGCTGTAGAGGAAATATGTAAAATAAAGCTGGTTTATCTGGGTTTTCTTGAGTAGAAAACAAATAATCGAACACCTTAGGTTAGGTTAGGTTGAAGCGACTACCTACA